ATTTAATCATACCCAATATCCTTTCAACTATCGTCCTAGGCCCATAGGTGTCTGGTATCAAAGCACAATAAATAACTTGTCAATTACTATGACGATCTCAGATCAAAGGAAACTTTTAAATCACATTCTTCAAGAGAATATCCTATTGATAGTTTATGGTAATTCTAACCATTAGGAATTATCTAATGAGTCGGTTCAATGATCATATCTCTATATGCATCATCTATCTATTTGATTTAGTTAATGAGATCAACTAATCATTATTCGATCACATAAATATTGATCTAACCTGATTATTAATGTCCAAATTAATAATCCTATGATCAAGAACAAATTTAGATTAAACTATAAGAAACTTAACTCTCATTATCATGATCTCCATCACAATGTCAAGTCTCAAAATTTAATCAAGGACCTTATCAAGCAATTAATAATAACTATGATAAAAGAATATCAGATGCTATATATTTTTATATCAAATATAGTTCGGAAAATCAAATCATCAAATATGAAATTGGGTCTAGGGCATATCTACTATATCCCTAACATGATCAACATATTATAAACACTTGTGTCAGACATTTTACGTATGATATTGTAAGATAAAAGTCATGTACAAGTGATTTGATTATTGAGAATAGCATTTATGAAGCTTTAAGATTGAAAATTTTCTGCAAGTATTAAAAACATAAATTTGACTATCCTCATTAATCTATTTACGTTACATAAATATGTGGCCGCAAATAAATTATGTGAAGTGAGAATAAGTACGTGACTTCTGTTGATTTGTTGGATTCACATTACTACCAATCTACCACGTCGCTAAACAGGAACTAAACATATACTCCTATTATATGGCACTTAAGAATTCACAACCACCTCCCATCTATAACACTAGCCTTTATGGACCATAATTGGAGCTCTAAAGCGTATCAAATGATTACACCCGACAGGCAACCACTCTCAGACTCTCTAACCCGCCCATAACCTCCGCCGCAATAAAGCTTTGGTTAAGAATTTGGATATATTTAGACAATGTTGTATTTGGAACTAGTTGACGTGACTAAATCGTATTCACGTTAAGTTAAACTTTTCTCTATTTTAAGAGGTTCTTCGTATTCAGAGCTCGAACTAGAGGCATCATTGTCGGTGGATATATAAAGTCATCAAGGGAATCAATCCTCCGATCCAATACCCTTTTGGTGGTCGAGATTTAGAATTTATTCTTTGTTCTTTTGTGACGATAAACTTTTTTGAATAATTAAGAGCTGAAATGTAATTTCATTGAAACATTCTAAACATGCCCTTGAATTGTCCAATTATAGCGGCGTATTTGACAATGTAAACAAGTACTTTGACATTTTATTTGTCAAACTTGTGAGAAAAATGCTTTCAAAATTCAAGTTAATGCGCCGTACTTTGTTTACTATGTCTCTCCAATTTTATATCTATTAGTAGTCCAAGATTTCCAGAAGTGGTCAGATTTTATTTACGTCAAGTCCTTGAGTTTTACTTAGATGTAAAATGTGTCATTTAGTCAGTGTCCAAGTGTTGCTTATTTGGCCTTAAATTGCTCCCACTATAATAGCTACAAAATAAATAGACAAATGCTTAAAACATAGAGAAATAGAAATTTTCGTGTTACAAAGAGTGGTACTGTTCAAACTAGCATGTGTAACTTCCGTTCACTTGAGTAATACATTGGCCTTTAACAAATGACCTCGAGCCCGTTTGGATTAATTTAAAAAGAATAATTTTTCAGCATAAATAATTTTTAAGCCAAACCTTTAACATATGACCTCGAGCCCGTTTGGATTGACTTAAAAAAAATAATTTTTCAGCATAAATAATTTTTAAGCCAAAAAGTAATAAGTTGGGATTGTCCAATTTATTATTTTTGATTTATTTTAAGCGGTTTTTAATTTACTTTAAGCATTTTTTAACTTTGCGAAACACTAAAAAAAACTTAAAAGAACTTAAAAGCTGATTTGACCAGCTTAAACGCGAATCCAATCCAATTTGTAATGAAATTTATTGCTATTAAATTATGTCTAATGTAAGCTTATTTTTTATTTAGAATTAAATTGATGTACAATGAATAGATAAGATTGTCTCACGATAAAACTATGCCCTTTGTATCAGATTAATTAATTTTCTAGGAAGATCAAATTAGTTAGTCGTGCAAAAATGCACAGCAAAAAGCTAGTTGGATAGTAGCTAGCTTTTTGACTATTCCCTCCGTTTAAAATAAAAGTTCGTTTAAAAAAATGTCTTTTTAAATTTAAAAATATTGAAACTTTAATTGTATTTTATCCTTAATAAGATAATAATAAAAGATATAAAATATATTCATTCATGAAACGGAAAAAATTAATTCAAATATGATAGCTCAACAAGATATTCTCGCTGAACCTTTGTATGAAAGGGGGTATCAATTTCTGTATAGAGTGTAGACAACAACAACAACAATAACTACCCAGTAAAATCCTACCAGGTGAGGTCTGGGGAGGGTAATGTGTACGCAGACTTTACCCCTACCTGATAGGGCAGAGAGGCTGTTTCCGATAGACCCTCGGCTCAGAAAAAATGAAAATAAAAAAGAAAAGAAAGAAAACAAGAAAACACAACTCATTAGTAACTGCAGTAGCAACCGTAATAGTAATGGAAGCATAACAACCAAAAGATGAAAGACATGCAATAACAGTAACCAGTATCTAAGGCCCAGGGCTAAAGGTGTCTAACGGGCCGGGTTGACCCGGAACCGGACCGGCCCAGACCGGTTAAAACCGGAACCGGACCGGCCCGGTTCATAAGGGGCCGGGTGGGGGTTGGACCGTTTATTATTTTTTACCGGTTAACGGGACCCGTTAAACCCGGTCCAATGAACAGTGCCTCTAACCGGTTCAACCGGCCCGGCCCGAACCGGCCCAGACCATGAATATACCATAATATACCATTAATATACCATGAATATACCATGAATATACCAATTATTGTATACTAATTAACATAGTTTAAAATTGTTGGAATTTAACATATAGTGTATATATTTAGGGTATAAAACTATAAATGTTAAAATCATAGAATATGATGGTAACGTATTATTTTTAAAATATGCTATATATGTGTTATTTTAAGATTTTAAGACAATTTGTGTTATTTTAAATTATTAGAAGTATTTATGCTTAATATTTTAGTTTTTTTTTTAAATTTTCAAAATTGTGGGCCCCACTGACCGTTGGCAACAGTCATACCTTCATTTGGTCCATTGGCCAACAGAAATATTGCACAAATACCAATTATTGTATACTAATTAACATAATTTAAAATTGTTGGAATTTAACATATATATCATACACATAATTTTCAAGTATGATACATGTAATAATAGTGGAATACTTTTGTCACTTTTTTGTATGTTTTACGGTGGAAATTGCTTTGAGTATATATTTTATAAGTCTTGATTATACCCTACGTATATATTTTATACNCTTGATTATACCCTACGTATATATTTTATACGTATTTAAAATGAAAGAAATATAATTTAAATCATATAGGAGTATTATATAAGGTAAAATACCGGATCCTAGGTTATAAAAAATATAGTGTATATATTTAGGATATAAATGATCAAATCATAAATATACATCAAGTAAACAACTTGATAGTTGATACAATGTAAAAATACATAAGATAGGCATTAAATATATTTTAGTACACAATAAAAATACATAAGATATTAATTTACTTTTTAAATGCAAATTTTAATTTTGTAATTTTGAAGAAAATGTAGCACTTGCAATTTATAAGTGTAATTTTTTCCCATCTTCCTTGTATTCTTTATATTAATACAAAGTAGTAATATAACTTACAATAGTTATACAAAATACAAAAAAAAATACACTAAACCCGACCCGACCCGACCCCCTCAACCCGTAACCCTTACGGTTCAATTTTTACCCGGATGAACCCGAACCCGTTAAACCCGTTTAGCCCTAACCCGTAACCGGCCCGGACCATAACCTGTACGGGTCCAAAAAAAGCCAACCCAGCCCAGCCCGGCCCACCCGTTTAATACCCTTACCCAGGACTAAGATAAACAGCAAGTACAGAGCATATTTAGCCTAAACTGCAAGTTATCTAAGATCAACCCTAATCCAACCACGCCTCATCTCCGGAACGAAGTAAGGAAAGTGCTAATACCTCCTAACCTACAACCCTAATGTTAAACCTCCAGACCTTCCTATCAAGGCCTCGGAATGTGGACAATAAGAGCAAAAATTTTGTTAATAGCTTGTGCAACTTTTTTGTGTAAGTTTCAGAATGTTCTAGTTCTTCTAAAACTTTTCCACCTCCAGCTCAATCATTTTTTTTCTCTGGCCACTCAATCATTTTTCCTTTCCCTTTTATTCCTCACACCAGCTTCCAGAAAAGTGCATTGTAATAACCTGTTTTGTCCAATTTGGGCCACACCCACACACTCCAATTCATAGCCAGCCTGGCCTCCCATCTTCCAGTGTTTGCTTTTATAAAACTTCGTATTCCCCACTTAATTTTCTGTAATATTCTATTCCCCTTTTCTTTTATAATTTTTAATTATCCTATTTATCTTAAGATCTTTTTATTGTCCAATAGAAACATCGTTCATTTCACGGTCCTTCAAAGTCCAGCAAACACCGTCCCTCGCTCCGAAAACAACGTAAAGGAAGTAGTGCACCTTTAATGGAAGGTATAAATAAATAAATACCAAGTCCAAGTCCATAATCAAACTTCAACTCCACGACTTGAATCGATCACGCCAATCCTGCCAAATAACCAAAAGAGAAAAAACAATTAATATATCCAACTAACAGATAAAGAATAAACAAATAAAATAAATATAAATAACCTAATACAAATAAAATAAAAAGTAAAAGGAGTACCTCGGAAGAAACACAACGCAAAGATGACGACGAACGCAATTCACGGCTAACGGACGGGAAACGGCAAGCATAACGGCACGGTGAACGGCAAGCACGATGGGATAAACAAAAGCTGCGAACGTAGACAAAACCAAACGAGTCACGCAACTCTCCATTACACAACAATTCGTACACAAATTGCTCAAAACACATTAAATTCATTTTTAACTCAGATTTTAATCAATAGTTCGTTTGCTTTAGTTACTGTTTTGTTTAAATGGATGTTGAAAAAAAAAGTCCAAAAAGTCCTTCGATTGCAATCAGTTGCTGCAAATCATATGTACAAGGGAGAATTTTTGTTGTTTTTTCAACTTCGCCGGAGTATCAAAACTTCCAGGGCCTTCGATTCGCCGGAGTACTATAAAAACCGCAGCCGGGATCTGACGCCGTCGCCGGAAACTCTCAACTGAATAGCTTCAAATACCAATATAAAAATATCAAACCTGTAACCTAAACACAACATCACAGATCCTCAGCTTTGGACATCCTGGAAAGCCGGCTGGGACGAGGTTGGAAATCGGCTCTACGCCTCTGATGATGCGACGAAGGCCGTATAAGAGCTGCTAAAGCACGCTTCACTAGATCTCCTTCAACAGTACCAATACGAACCAGCGAGTTCGTCATCGCCGAACGCCGAGCATTCAATCGGCTAGGCGAATACATCGACGGAGCAGTATTCATATTCTTGTGCAAACTACACCGGAACGAGCCAGGATGCGTTGTAGGAGAGCACATACACGTCCTTTTTGGAAGTTTTGTCAGCGGATTATTGTTCTGCTTTCGAACCACTTGATCTCGGGAAGAAACCGCCATCGAACGATGAGGAGATATAGATCTGTCGATCGAGAACTTAACAGAAGGCGTAGGAGCCAGTGGAGCAAAACCGTGAAGGTTCACGCGCGTCGGAGACGCCGATCGATGGAAAAAACCTGTGGAACTAGACGAGCAAAAGCTAGAACTCGTCGAAGAAGCAAATGACGAAAACGGTGACGTATCAGTCGCCGTCGTTGAGTTGCAAAACCGGCCAGTCGGTGAGATAGACCTCTGGAAGGCCGATCTAATCGGCAAAACCGGTCCGCTTGATCTTCTAGAAGATGTCGCCATTGAAGACAGTAAGATTTTATTTTTTTTACTATAATTTTTTGGAAGAAGAAAAAGAGAAAAAGGAAGCTGGTAAAAGAAATCTATAATAAACAAATTTTGTTTCTATAGATTTCTTCTAAAGGGCCCTTAGGCTCTTCAGTTTGGCAAACCTAGCGTGTCTCAAAGCCTAAATTTATAGCAAGGAGAAGGAGAAGGGTATCCGTGTAAATAACATAAAGTATAAGGATGTGGTTAGCAAATTCTTTGCCATCTAGTTAAGCTAACCATGGTTATGATTTAACCTGAGTAGGGTTTGTTTAAAGGATTCCGATCCAACGGCTGGTTAATGCGACAGTATTATGAGCCGTTTCATTGCAACTGCTAATTTGAGAGGATAAAAGAAGGATGCCACATGGACGTATCTTTTTTTTTTTTTTTTTGAAAAATTCCTTGCTATGATTTGGTGCGAATTACGTGAATTGCATAACTGAACTGCGAATGCGAGAAGGAACTTAAGGGGCCGTTTGGCCATAAAATATTTCACTTTTTTCAGAAAAAAATTATTTTTTTCCAAATTAGTGTTTGGCCATTAAATTTTCAACTTTCACTTGGCAATAAATTTCGGAATTTTTCAAATTTTTCACTTCATATCACTCACAAAAATTCAAAAATAACTCAAAATTATATTCATGTCCAAACACAACTCTAATTTTCTGCTCGAAGTAAAATTGATTTTATGTATTTCGAAGTTATAATCTTTACTATATAGTGCAGAAATTAATATATAAGGACCGCGAAATAAAAGACAGCCCACTCAAACTTATTTATCATTTCAAATTCAAATGATACTTGAGACATGAGAATAGGGGTGTTCATAAAAACCCGAAAAATCGAACCAAACCGAAAATCAAACCAAATCGACCAAAAAAATCGATATTTTTGGTTTGGTTTGGTTTGGTTTTGGTTTTGAATTTTAAAAACCGATTAGATTTGGTTTGGTTTTGGTTTTAGTCAGAAAAAAACCGAACCAAACCGACTATAGGAGTAGCTATTTCAAATTTATTATTACACACACACACACACACACACACATATATATATATATATATATATATATATATATATATATTGTTATACAAAGTTTCAAAAAATTTATGGTAAATGTTAATAGTTTGCACTTTTAATATAGTTCTTTACATTTACATTGTAGTTTGATTGGTAGTTTTTTTTTTTTAGTGTAAGAATTCATTTCGTGTTAAAACTAACATATTTTTAATTGAGTCCTTAAAATTGTTCATCACTATTTGATTCAATTATCATCAATATATCTTGGTAAATAATATATTTCTCAAAGGACAATTGATTTGATAGTGTTACATTGAAAATATGGTCGCCGGAATATGTGTTTGGTAGTGTATGTCTTATATTTAAGAAAAACCGACAAATAACCGAAAAAACCGAAAAACCGACATAAACCGAATCGAGAAAAACCGGCTTAATTGGTTTGGTTTGGTTCTAATATTTGAAAAACCGACTTACTTGGTTTAGTTTCTTTTCAGAAAAAAACCGATCCATGAACACCCCTACTTGAGAGCAATCATTTTATTTTTAAGTTTCATTTGAGGTCTTTAAATTTTAAATTTTTTAAGTTGTTAGATGTACATGTCTCCATATATGGGCCCATATTTTGTACCATCTATAAATTAAGAGAAGTTTTCGGAAATTACTATTGTTTAGTGGCTATTAATTTCTTATAGCTATTATATATATTCCTATAGCTATTATTCAGTTGTTACGGTAGTGTATGCGCTGTATTCGCGATGTTGTATTCATGAATACAACAACAAAAAGCGCCTAAAACTTGGGCAGTCCAGCTATACGCGCATGTATTCACATGTATTCGCACCATATATTCATGAATACAGTAACGTCAACCACCTTAAAAATAGGTCTGTCCAGCTATCTAATAACGGAAATAATATCAATTAACATGACACACTCCTAATATAACTCAACGAAATCAATTCTAACATGCCTCATTATCAACGCAATTAATTAGAATGATTATTCAGTTGTATATAATTGTTGTATTTAGTGTGTTTCAAATTTTTTTACTGTTGCATTCATTAGATTCAATGTTTGTATTTACTGTATTCGCTAGTGTAATCAAATGTATTTGTATTAACAGTATTTTAGTTGTTCCTAATACATGTAATTACAGTTGTATTTAGTATATTTTATTGGTTGTATTCATTTTATTTCTATTTGTATTCAGTGTATTTTATTGAATTTTACTGTTTTATAAAAAAAATGTATTCACTGTTTATATTTTGTTATATTTTAATGTTTGTATTCCGTGTATTTCATTATTTATATCATGTATTCAGCTGTATTAAAAAAATATAGCCTTCGAAATACATAAATATAGGCAAAAAAATATTTATACAAAAATACAATGTGGTTGAGTGACTTTGTACAGAATACAATGTATTTGTATCATTGTATGTGATTAAATAGCAAAGAAGAGAAGAAAGTTCGTCGGAGATGATGTTTTCCGGCCAAGACTCCTTGTGTTGACTGTACTCGTCGCAATTAAAAAATTCCAATGCTTCAAAGGACAATGCAACTCGAAGAATAAGGCAAGCCTTTAATCAGTTTGAAGGAATACAGTGTTATGTAACCTTTCACAAAGGATTTACAAACTTGATTGGATATATCACCAAGCAAGATAAGAAACCCTACCTATTGGGAGAATTTTCAAAGGAAGAATTCTTGCAGATCTGGAGGCTTCAGCAAATGATTCAGGTTCATGAGCAGACTGAATCAAGATGAGGTAAGCTCGATCTTTGGGGAAAACAATTCATAAGCTTTCAATAGGATAAGAAACTTGAGAGGATCGATGAAGCTGAGAGATTGAATTGCAGTAACCCTAGAGGATTCGGCTTATTTTGCTCGAAGAGAGAGAGAGAAAGAAGAAAAATTTCGAGAGAGAATTGTGTGTTTCAAAGAAAGAGAAAGGAAAAACATAAATGACGTGTTTCATGCCTCAATGGTAGTATATACCATAAATACACTATAAAATATAAAAGATAGTTATAGAAATTGTATAAAATAATTTTGATTTATAATAAATAGAGAGTATACCTTTGATATTGGAGGTAAAATTTTCATAAATTAAAACATGATAAAATCGGAAAGCATTTCTTATTGAACTCTTAAATGTATTATCGTTGATCGTAGTACCATTGATAAAGTCAAAAAAATGAAATGTTAAGCAGAGAACGTTCAACCAATATAGGGTACAATTATACGGTTGAGTAAAATTTTGTTGAACAATTCCTCCATTCCCACCTTTTCTGTGTCACAATAATTTGTTGAACAAAGCAAGTAGCGATGCAACACTGCAATTGTTGAAGTAGTTATATAGCCTTTTCGGCCAAACCTTTTTTTTGGGTCAAAAGTGGGCTTTTTTTCTTCAAAAGTTAAGGTGTTTGACCAAGCTCTTATAAGGAAAAAAAAGTATTTTTGATAAGAAGTAGAAGCAGTTTTTTATAAGCAGAAAAAAGTAGTTTCTCTCCAAAAGCATTTTTTTGAGTACTTTTTTGAGAAGCATTTTTGAGAAAAATACACTTAGAAACAGTTTTTAAAAGATTGGTCAAATACTAATTACTGCTCAAAAGTGCTTTTCAAATTAATTAGTCAAACACAAACTGCTTCTCCCCAAAAATACTTTTGTGAAAACTACTTTTGAGAAAAACATTTATCTGATTTTAGAAGTTTGGCCAAATAGACTAATAGTCTTATAGATACATCAATGTAAAATACAATATTTACTATTCAACTTCCCCGTATTACAGAAGAAAAGGTAGAATTGTTAGGTTAATGTAGAGTGTAAAAGGAAAAACGAATGATCTTCGTTTTGTAAAAGGAAAAACGAATGATTTTAGTTTTGCAAACAAATTAAGCAATGCCTAATCCACTTGAAGACATCTTCTTAAGCCAAAAGAAACAATGACAACTGCAAGTAATCCAAAATCTAAGGCAATGTCAAAACCTTTTCTTCTCCTTTACCAACCAGCATTTGCCCTCAATCGTTATCATACAACTGTTGAAGCAAGATCAAAATCAAATATCTTGTGAGAATGAAGTTACAGTCTAGCTACTAGTTCCCCTTGCACCAAAGTACTAAAATAACTGCTACTCTCACTCTATGTTTATGTTAAATCATAGTATTAACTTATTGTAGTAAAGTAATTTAGTGAGGTGATAACGTATATTAGTTAATCATAATTAATTTATTGCAAACATATATCACGTATTTATTAGATTGATAAATACTAAATACGGAGTAATTTTTTGTCAAGTATTATATGTAGACATCGAAATTTTAACGAATCAGCCTAAATTCTAAATTCAAGATCCTACAAAACCACTCTATAAAAAATGGAGATCATCTAAGCAATTCCATAAACTCTCGGAATATGCACAAAGAGATCAAATATACGATCCCTGAAATTCCATAAAACTCTTGGAATTTTCATTAAGAGATCAAAGACATGTCAAATATCTCTTGCTCATAGTTCTAGTAACATTCAAGATCCAAATGGAGTGATGCTACATGTTTCTTGATCATCAAATACATCAAGAAGATGCATATCATCTTGCGTTCGAGAAACACGCTGCTAAGGCCCTCTAATTACGGATAACAAATCAGAGGGAAGAATCAAGGGAGTTGTAACCCGCAATGTTTATCAATAAAATTCTTTTTTTCTTTATAGTTTTTTTTGTGATTGCAGATTTATTTTTCTGCACAAATTTATTTCCAAACAAATTGGCATACCCAGTAGGACCAGTTCTGCCCTTCATCTCTTCCTCCTACAAATCGAAAACTACAAGTTTCAAACTTATCTGTTATGATAATCGAGCACTTCAAGTCTCGTCTTCAAGTTTTCGCAAGCCTACACCCCGACAAACCTTGAAGTAGGAGCATTTGTAGACATCAAAATTTTAACGAATCAGCCTAAATCCTAAATTCAAGATACTACAAGACCACTCTTGAAATTCTAGAAGTTTATTAGGGTTGCTTGGAGGCTACTCTACCAAACCCTAGCTTGGAGGCTACTCTACCTCAACCTAGGTCACTCCTATAAAAAGGGTTACATATTCCCTTAAAGAAGATATCA